GTCAGCAAGACCCTCAGGGAGGCAAAACGCAGGTACTCCCCCGTGGAGAAAACGGTACTAGCCATTGTTTGGACTGTCAAGAAGCTTGGCCACTACTTCCAAGCTCATCCGGTCCAGGTCCTCACGCATCAACCCCTCGGTGCTTTGATGAGGAGCCCCACTAGCTCCTCCCGAATGGTAAAATGGGCCATCTTCCTAAGCCAATACAACATCGACATCCGTCCGAGGCCCACCATAAAGGGCCAAGCCCTGGCGGACTTCGTAACGAAGTGCACAGCAAGGTCGGCTACAGACGAGGAGCCCTCGGCTCCCTCGGATGATTGGTGGACTCTCTACACCGATGGCTCCTCTGCTATCAAAGCTTGTGGAGGAGGGGTAGTTCTCATTACTCCCGAAGGCTTCTGCGCCTATTATGCTATCCGCTTCTCCTTCAAGGTCTCCAACAATGAAGTCGAATATGAGGCCCTCCTCTGTGGCCTTCGACTGACAGCAAACATGAAGGCCAGGCAAATCCACGTGAAATGCGACTCCAAGCTAGTCGTTGGCCAAGTCTCTGGGGAATACGAGGCCAAGGAAGGAAGGATGAAACAATACAAAGAAGCGGCCAAGGAGTTGCTTAAGGTGTTTGAGGCACACTCTCTCACTCAAATATCGAGGGCTCAAAACTCTGAGGCCGACATTTTATCGAAGCTCTCGGCCGAGTCCCCCGAGCACATATCCAAGATTGCCAAAATCGAGGAACTCAGCCTCTCCAGCATACATGCCAGCCCCGTAATGAACATACAACCAAGGCCAGAGGACTGGATCTCAGACATCACCGCCTTCATCACCACAGGGCAACTGCCCGAGGATGAAGCCCGCGCCAAGCTAGCTAAGCTGAGGGCTCCCAGTTATACCCTCGAGGACGGAAGGCTTTACAAACGATCTTGCAACGGTACGCTACTCCGGTCCCTTCATCAAGATGAAGCCGAAGTTGCAATGGAGGAGGTACACAGTGGCACCTGCTTAGCTCACCAGGGACCCTTCTCCATGTCCCGAAGGCTCATAGTCCAGGGCTACTTCTGGCCTACGATGGCCCAGGATTGTGCGGAACTCGCCCGAAGGTGTACCGCCTGTCAGCACTTCCAGAAGGCTCCCGGCAGGCCAGCGGTCAACTATGCTCCCATCAGCACGTCCATACCCTTTGCTAGATGGGGCATAGACCTTGTTGGCCCTCTGCCAAGGGGTACCTCCAACAACAGGTACATCATCGTTGCCATTGACTACTTCACCAAGTGGGTGGAGGCTGAGCCACTCGTCAGCATCACTGAAGCCAGACGCCGTCATATTGTTCTCAAAAACATCCTCACAAGGTTTGGCGTCCCCCAGCAAATCATCCCTTACAACGGGACTCAATTTGAGGCAGCCCCCTTCTGTGCCCTCCTAGGAGCATGGGGCATCAAGCATACTTTCTCATCCGTTGCCTACCCTCAAGGCAACGGCCAAGTGGAAAATGCCAACCGGACCTTGCTCGAGGGCCTAAAAAAGAAGCTGGAAGCTGAAGGGGGAGGCTGGGTAGAGGAACTTCACAACATCCTATGGGCCTACCGCACCACCCCTCGGCGGGCAACGGGTGGAACACCCTTCTCCCTTTGCTACGAATTTGAAGCCAAGGCCCCCACTGAAGTAACCCTTCCTACCCGAAGGGTGGCCCAATACGATCCGGAAGTTAACGACGCCAACATGGCTCTCGACCTTCACTTCATCTCAGAACGCCGAGAGCAAGCCTTCATACGGGCGGAGAACTACCGAAGGCAAGTAAAGGGCTACATCGATACCAAGGTTCATTCCCGGGAGTTTCAGGTGGAGGACTACGTTCTCCAAAGAAGGGAAGCTAGCCAACCAACCGAGGGCGGCAAGATGGCCCCAAAATTTGAAAGGCCCTACATCATCACAGCCGTCTTTAAACCCGGAACGTATAAACTCAAACGCCCAATGGAAACGATGTCCCTCGACATTGGAATGTACACCATCTAGTTAAATTTTATCAGTAATGTTAGAGCGGCCAAGCCCTCATAACTAGTGAATGTATTATCCTGCGGCCCAAAGCCTCAAAATTTTGAAGAATGAAGACATATTGAAGACACCAGGAACAAAGAACAAAACACTAGATAGCGGCCAAGCCCTCATACTAGCGCCTGGCCCAAGGCCTTATTGCAAGAAAGACCCTTCGGCACAAAGTGCCGAGGGTAGACACTCCAATCACCTTCGACAATGAAGAAAATACCAAGTGTTTCCAATGAAGGCCCCTCGGTACCAAGTACCGGGGGCGTGCGCAAAAACAAACATCAGGTGTTATTTTTGAAGCCGTACCCCTCGAGGACGCATTCGAAAGATGAGTGTGACAGAGATGCGTATGTTGCGTTGGATGTGTGGACATACCAGAAAAGACCGCCTGAGGAATGAGGTAATCAGACAAAAGGTGGGAGTAGCACCTATAGAAGTTAAGATGCAAGAGTCTCGTTTGCGGTGGTTTGGGCATGTGCATAGAAGACCGAGTGATGCACCTGTTAGACGACTTGAGGGGTGGGGAGAAGAGTCAGAGAAGAGAGGGAGGGGAAGACCCAAACAGACTTGGATTAGAGTAATCAGAACTGATATGCGTCTTCTTGGGTTGGATGAGAGTATGGCTTTGGAGAGAGCAAAGTGGAGGGCGCACATCCATGTGGACGATTGATGTCTTGTCTACCTTTCCTCTCTTGTTTCTTTTATCGTTTATCTTCCTTATCTTTTTATATTCTTATGTTATTTTTATCTTCTAGCTTTTTTATGTTCTTTTATTTATTTTTCTTTTATCTTGGTTATATTCTTGTGTTATTGTTATCTTATATTTATGTATCTTTATTTTATTCATTTTATCTTACTTTTTTTCCTTTTCTTGTCCGCCTTCTCTTTTTGGCATCGATATCATAGATCGATTCATGTTAGCCGACCCCAAATTCTTTTGGGATTAAGGCTTGGATGTTGTTGTTGTTGTACCCCTCGCGGACGCATTTATACCGAAGGCATCACCTATCGGTCCCGGCGGCACCTAGTGCCCCCGGCCATTTGCAACTAATATGCAAATAAAACCCTTCCCTGGAATGCTTTCCGCACCATTACCCCAAGGGAATGGCAGGCAATTAATATGCCTCAGGATTCGACTTTCAAATCGAAACGCTCCCCGCTCCCTTACCCCAAGGGAATGACAGACAACAGACTATGTCTCGTGCTGAGGGGACGACTTTCAAAAATGAGGCGCTTTCCGTGCTATCCCCCAAGGGGAGGCAGGCAACAGATCACGTCTCGTGCCGAGGAAACGACCCTCGATCCCCTCGGAACCCGGAAGGTTAATCCCGAGGGGGAGCCAATGGTGTATACTATTGCCTCCCGATAGGCCAAGCCTTACCAAGAAACCAAGTTTCTTGAAGCCTCCCCTTCACTACCGAAAAAAAAAATTGGGGTGAGGGGGAGTAGACTCATCGAGCAATCAACGAGTATAAATTTACAACAAACACCCGTCGGCACCTAGCAAGAATACTCCTCACAGGGCATTCCAGATCATACCGAAGGTTCCCCCAGGGAACACCTCCGGCACCTGAAAGCTCTTATTCAGGAAGTCACCTTTGACGGTGGCCCTTACTCCGGGGGCTGCTATTCAACAAATGTTACCAAAATATGGCTAAGTCCATAACCTGGTTGCCTCCGGCATCAACCCGTACCGAAGGCTGTAACATTCAACAAATGTTACCAAAATTCATCCTAACCCAACAGTTGGGATGAACTTGGTTAAGTCCACATTATGCAGCACTCTCCATCACATGTTTGAGGAGAATCGAGGGCACCTGTATATCTTGAGATCAAAATTTCCAAGTACACATTCCGGTAGCCTCTGACATCACAATCAACGTCGGGGGCTCAAATCTTAGGAGGCCACGTGATGCACATCACTGGGAAAAATCTTCTAAGTCATAAGAAGATGGGCCCTCGGACAACTCAACATACAACCGAAGGCTTAGTGGTAAAACTACACTTGAAAAATGTCTGTCCTGAATCTTAGGCCTTCGGTCAGCTCGTGACTAAAGGGAGACACAAGCCGAGGGCACAGTAGGGACCATAGCTAAGGAATTTTTCTAAGTCCTGAACTATTGGCCCCCGACCACCAACGAAGAAGGGCTTACAAACTCACACAACACAAGGCACACGAAAGAGATGTCAACCGGAAGCCAAGTTGTAAGCAACATTTAGAAAAATATTCCAAGTCCTAAATTTTTGGCCTTCAGTCAATTCATGACAGCCAGAGGGGTCGATTAACCGAAGGCTAGGAGATAAAAACAGCACTTAGAAAATTTTTTAAGTCCTAAATCTTTGGCCCTCGGTCAACCCAGAACAAGTTACACAAGATCAAAAAGGAAGCAACGACCGGAGGCCTAGCACAGAACAAACACTTGGAAAATTTTTCTAAGTCCTAAATGTTGGGCCCTCGACCAAACATTTAACTAAACATACACTCATGCACGAAAGGAAAGAAGGTAGGGAATAACAGAAAAGGCATTCATTCAAACAACAGACAAGGAGAAGAAGGCATTCATTAACAAAATGGAAAAGCAAATTGTTATACATGAAGGCCGAAGCCGAAGGATTGTACATATTCATTACAAAAATTGTTCAAAATTATACAAGAACAGGGTTATCATCAGCTTCAGCAGCACCCCTCTCGACAGGCTTCGAAGTGGCATCCCCTTCGGCCTCTTCCTCTTCATCGCTAGCCTCCTGCATCAGTACAATATCTTCCAGATCAGGCCTTGTAGCACCCTCAGGAAGGGGAATTCTGGGATCAGGCTGGAGAGGAGGAAGACCATGAGCTGCTGGGTCAAAAGCCTTCAGGTCCACCCCCAAAGGCACCCCAAATGCTGGGCCAGCCTTCGGTAGATGAGGGCCTGAGTGAAGTACTCACCCCCATCGTAATACTCTTTGCCCTTCTTGGCTAGCCACATGGCGCCGGGGCCCTTCACCCAGTCATCTACCGAGGCCTCCACCACCGAGGCCACCCACTGTTGATGCCCCTCAGCCTTCCAGCCCTCGGCGACGAAAGCAGCCACCGCACTGTTCTCGGCCTGGATTACTGCCTCCTTCTTCTCCCCCTCGGCCCTCTCAGTGGCTATCCTGGCGGCCTCAACTGCAATCTGCTCGGCCTCAACTCTTCCCTCGGCCTTGGCCACTGCCTTAGAGTTCTCAAGAATTTTACTGAAGGCCGCCTTCTCCACTTGGAAAGCTTCTTCGGCCTTCTGACGCTGCCTTCGGGCCTCCGCCAAGGCTTCATCCGCCTTCTGCTTCTGGAGAGCAGATTCCTCCATCCTCCGAATAAGCTCACCTAGGCCGATGCTTGCCTACGAAAGACCAGGAAACACTGAGAGTTAAATTACTACGCACAACATGCAAGATACACTTGACTAAAGGAAAGAAGGGAGGAAAAATCTTACAGTGACTAAAGCCTGGAGGACCTTGGAGCAGAGGGCATCGTCAGCTTGCCGGGACAGCACCGAATTGTCTGTTGAAGGGGTGGCACCCCTCAGGAACTCCCTCGAGCTGAGGGTGCCGTGCATGATGGCAGTCCCCTTGGTGATAGAGAACTGCACGTTCTTCTGGGGCCACGCCATTCCGGCAACTTGAGCCGGGGGCTCGGAAGAGGAATGTTCCTCGACAATGACAACGGGGCCTCTTTCTTCTCGACGGCCCCCTTCTTCTCCTTCTTCCCCTCCGGGGGCACCGCGGCCTTCCCGACCCACTTTCTCTTTAGCTTCTCGACAGGTGAGCCCTTGGCTGTAGAGCCGACATCTTCACCGACGGCAGCCTTCACCACAGGCCCACCAGCATTCCCTGCTCCTGCCTTCGGGAATATCTCATATACCACCCTCTGCTGCGCCGGAGCCTCCTTCTTCTTGTCTTCTTTGGCAAGTTGCCTCTTCAACTTGGCGAGATTCCTGGCATCCATATCTAGTCCTGAGAAACAAGGGAAACATAAAAGTGTTAGAATACTGCTACAAGACACAAAAATCCTAAGTATAAAATACGAGCCCACGACAAGGCAACAACCTTCGACACTTTGGTAGACCCGATCGATGGGGGGATATCTCTCATCTTTTTCACCCATCAACCGGTACCGACGGAAGCCCAAATCATAAAGCTCATCCGGGAGGGTGGCGACCTTGATCAGAACGTGCTTGTCAGACCCCTCCGGCTTCTTGGAAAGCTTTCTCCCCTTCTTCTCCAAGGCGGCACTCTCTGCCTTTAGATGCCTCCGAAATCTATCACAGAGGGGGGCTGGAAGGGATTCTCCGCCATACAGACATAACAAAATTTGTCTTTCCACCCCTTATGAGACGAGGGGACATCGTCGAAGAGTCTGAACTCGGGGAGCTGCTGCAGGTTGGTGAAGCCTCCAACATTTGAGTGACCCCCCGGCAGAGGTTGAAGGTGAGGAAGAAGTGATCTAATGTGGCCTCCACGTCCCTGCTCCGGCAAAGGGAAAGGAAACCAACCAAGTAGGAGTGGCTGTTTGGGGTCAGCTGGCAGGGGGCGAGTTTGACGAAGCGAAGGTATTGGATGATGAAGGGATGAAGTGGGAATCGGAGGCCCAACTCAACCGAGAGTATATGTACGGCAAAGCAGCCGTCGGGGACATGCAATAGCACGTCATCTGGCCCCGGCTCCACCACCTGCACCGAGGGCCCGACCAAGAACTGTGTAGCCATGTACTCCCTCTGTGTGGCTCTGCTTTTCACCTCCAAAGAAGCTGTGTTCAGGAAGGAATAGCCTTCAGGAATTCCTACTGGCTGCCCAGCATCGACATCAACTTGTTTCTTCTTCGGCGCAGCTTTCGCTTCTCTTTTTTCCGGGGGCCACGCTAATAGGTGTCATGTCTAGAGGCCGGGAGGTGCTGGCTTCTCCGGCGTTACGTGCGGGGAAGATGGCAATGGTGACCTTTTGCCTCTCTTTGTCCTCTTCCTCCTCCGCAACCTGAACAGTGAGGGCTAATTCCTCGTCTTCTACCACTTGTTCAAATTCTTCCGCTTCCACCTCAGTCCGAAGGTTGTCTTGGATCCTCTCGGCTACAGCAGAGTCATCACGTACCAAGGACCGCTCAGTTGAAGACTCAACGGATGAATAGCTCTCAGCTTGAGCAGACGGCTCCCTCGAGATGTCTTGAGAGTCACTCGCAGACGACATCCTTGGTAGGGTGTTCGAAGGGCCCGAGATGGTTTCCAGCCTTGGGGTATTTATAGGCCTCCCACTCCGGGCTTGGGCCAAGAAACCGGGCCCCCGATGGAAGAATCATCATTACACGCCGCCTCCTCCGCCAACCGGTGACGCCCGCCCGCAAACAACCAACGGGTACACGCCACGTGGACAACACATCCAACGGCTATATCCCAACGGTCATATTCCAACGGTCATATCTCAACGGCTCTCTTTCACAGACTAAGTTCCCTCTTCTGGGACCCCTCAGACAACGCTATGCATGCCTTCGGGCAATCTCCTTTAGACTCTTTTTTCAAGGGAAGCCCCCAGCCTAACAACGGGAAAACCCCTCAGGACCCGTTAGCCCTCAACATGGTGGGAACCAGGGAACCTCCCAGGCCACTCTGTGCAACCCCCCGAGGCCACACCGTCAAACCCGCTCATCAGTGGTAGCCTCCGACATAAAATAAGGGACTCCCCTCAGTATCACCAGGATATCGAAAGGATGCCTTCGGCAAATCAACAAGCAAGTCCCAAATCAAATGCAGTCTTCGGGATTAGATTTATACTCAAACCAAGGGTTAATTTTTTCGATTCATCATTGGGGGAATTCGGTGCACTCTTTTTCCCTCATTAGAATTTTTTCCCACAGGGTTTTTTCTAATGAGGTGTTTAATTAGGCATCCCCCCCAAAATGAAACGAAAATGGTCAGCACTCGGCCACATACTAAGGACAGGCACTGCCATACTCCTCTTCACCACATTACATGTGCCTCAAGGAGTTGGGGACTGGAAGACCCCTCCGGGAAAAATCACAAAAATACAAAATGTCAAAATTTCCCTTTGGCCCCAAAGTGTAGGGGACTGAGGGACTGCCCTCGGCAAACACGCAAGCGCAAAACTCCTCACCACTTTTACAAACGACAACAAAGCATCATCAGAGGACAAACACAATTACTCCTTTCCCCTCAAGTACCTTTCAGCAAAAGGAGTGAGGGACTCCTGATGGAGTATATGGCCCAGGGACCCCCGGCCCACATACTTCCCCACAAGAATGCTGACACGTGTCCCCATCTAGCATTTATTGCTATTATGAATAGCACCCCTTTCCCCCATTGTAAACCACGCTCAATACAACTCAAACACACATTTGAACTCTTTATCTCTCTTACTTATTCGCTCTGACTTCTCTCTAAATTACTCCCCGCGGTAACCCCTTGGATAAGCTATCCCCGGGGTACACTATCCATCACACGTAGAGGTAGGGGTGGAACTGGAACGGATCGGCTCGAGCCCCGGCTGGTTCTAAATAATTACAGTTCGGTTCCGATCCAGTTTAGTCTGGTGCCGGTTCCAGGTTGGACCCACCAAACAATATGTCACGCCCCAGACCGCATCTAAGCGTGTGTACAACCGCCGTGTGATTAAATGACGTCACTCGCAAGTCAACCTCACATAATCACACAAGGCGTTCATGAACATCGTTCACACCATACTCAGTAGTAAACATACATAACAACATCACATCATAGATTGAATGAATAGCGGAAAATATTCAACGGTCAATCATAAGCCACATATGGCAAAACGTAGGCTCGCAGACCAAAACAACGTAATATTACAAAAGTATGCATGAGCATAGTTTATGATTTAAAATAATAAAGGAAGCACGAACCACGTCTTCCTCTAGATTCTTTCCACCCGTGCAAAGGTGTAGACAACAGGCTCTAGATTCAACCAGAAATGGTGGGGCCCCACGAAGGGGTCAGTACAAGTACCGAGCGAGTAGCAAGCTAAATGTAGAGTAACTAACGTTTCAAGTATAAGACCCAAACATAGGGTGATACATATATTTATACTTCCTTACCCCAAGTTACAAAATACATATCAGTACTTATATACACTTGAAAATACCCGACCCGTAGGTCATTGTTTAATTAGGAAAAATAATAGTAGTCAATGTCCTTGACTTAAAACCCCAACCCACCTATAGACCTATGAGTGTATAGGACTCCTCCTGTCCAAATCAAATAATCATAAGGACACCGCCCGATCCTGAATTACTAAATAGTAATCTATGAGTTTTGAGGATACACGCCCGATCCTTCGGTACTCCACCCTATATAACCGAGTTTTGAGGATACCGCCCGATCCTTAGGTACTCCACCCTATATAACTGAGTTTTGAGGATACCGCCCGATCCTTGGGTACTCCACCCTATATAACCGAGTTTTGAGGATACCGCCCGATCCTTGGGTACTCCACCCGACCTTTGATCTACCACATATCATACTAGATAGGGCCTATATCATAATCATTAAACAAGACTAGACCAAGTCTTAAGGCCTAAACAAAATCATCCATGCAACTCATGCATTAAAATTAGCATATAGGTAAAGTAAGGCCAAACCGGCGCCGGTCAACTCTCGGTTGACCCGCCATTCCAAATCCAATGTGTGTCAAACTTAGTCACAATATGTACTAAGTTATAAATAACTATTTTATGCACATTTCATATCTAAATATATCACATATGTTTTTATGAGCATTTTCACTTCACAAATCATGCATATTTCAATAGTTCACTTCATACAAGCCTAATCACTTTAATTGGCTAATCACATGTTTAATTCATTTAAACATTATTATGAACACACATAACATATACTTAAGTAATCTCATGCTTAACCCAAAAGTTACAAGACATTAAGTCATCCACTCACCTCAAATGAGCTTTAGGAAGATTCTACTCTTCTTAGTTGAACTCCGGCGAGACTCCGACTAAACTCCGGTGTTACTCCGGCGAAATCTAGAACCACTTTAGTCAAGCTCCTAACATGGTTTTATCATTACAAAACCCATATCAACACAAATAACCCCTAAAAGGTTATTTTCCGGCGAACCGGCCGTTTTGGCTTCTAAGTCCGTTCTTGGACTTAGAACCACCTTCCAACCCCTCATTCTACACTTCTAAACATGTAGAACAATATAGGAGTCCTCCATAGGATATAGAGTTCATATGGAAAACAAATGATGGAAGAAAAGTTATTAAAGAACTCTTCACCTTTATGTTCCAAGTTTTTCTCTACTTTTGCTACTTCCTTTTCTCCCTTGAGTTTCTTGTTGTTTGAGCTTGCTTTGGCTATGGAGAAAGATGGTTGTGAGGTTTCTTGCTCTTCATTGGGGGTGGTCTTGCCGAACTGATCAAGGGAAGGGTGGCGATTTCCTAATATTTGTCTCAAAGGTATGAGTGGTGTGGGGGGAGGCCCACCCTTTTTGTTTGATGCCTTTTATTTCCTTCACCTCACGCCTCTCCAGGTTCCCTCCTCATCTCAGCCGGCCAACTCTCTGATTTGAGTGGCCAAAATCGTGGGTTGGCCCCCACCCATGTGGGAGGTCAACCCTTTTTGTCCAGAAGTGTACAATTGGTCCCGAAAGTTATATTTCTCGGACTGTTTTAATTATATTTTATTTTATTGGGCCAAATAAAATATATGGTGTGATTTCAATTACTATGGAACT